GTGTCTTTGTACCAAACTGGGAGAGAAGCTTCTGGGCTTTTTGCCTTTTTAAGCAGACAAAGAATAATTTAGTCACTCCATCAACAGGGGGCACATTCCTACACATGGCAGAAAAAGAAATGGGAGACTTCCAAACATTCCTTAACTTAACTTTTGGTAAGAACTGATGCCTCTGGAACCTGAATGCTACAGCAATACACATTTTGTGAAGACAAGATGATATTATGGCTAAAAAAATGGGCATCACATACAACACTCTGTTGCTCAGTTTAGGGAGAAAACAATTCCAGGAGAAAAAAATTCCAGGGAGAAAAAAATCCTCAGGGAGTATAATGATTCCACTATCAACAAAAACTGTAAGTTACTACTTCTTATACCTGTTACCCAACAGATTCCCTCAGTAACTTGCTCATTTTGGCTAGTATTTCCACAGAATACGTGATATTTTAATATTAGTGTGCCTTACTTTAGATGTGAAAAATTCAAGGTTAGAGATTCAAACCACTTAAATCAATGCAGGTACCGAGTAAAACAATAACTTCTCTTACGTTTTAATTTGGCTAAAAAGGTAGTATTTTATACAAAGGATCATAGAATGGTTTGGGTTGAGAGAAATGTTAAAGATTGCCTTGCTCCAACCTCCTGCCACTTGCAGGGAGACCTTCTGCTAGACTAAGTTACTGCAAGCCCCATCCAGCTTGGCCTTGAACATTTCTCCAGGAATGGGACATCCACAGTTCCCCTGGGCAACCTGTTTGAGGGCCTCACCACCCTCACAGGGAATAATTTCTTCATGTTATTTAATCTAAACCCACCCCCTGTCACTTTAAAGCCATCACCCCCCACACCATTAAAAAGTCCCTCACCAGGGCTTTTGCAGTCCCTTTAGTAATGGAAGGTTGCTGAAATGTATCCAATGTATTTCTGTCCCTGCAGCTTTGCCATCTATGAAACCAGAAATTATACCTGATATATATTATATAGATTGTATTTGAATAATGAAACCTCCTTATTTTACAATTATTAGAAAACTTACAAATTTTAATATATTCTGGCCTATCATGAAGAGTTTGAGGCCAAATAGAAGCCCTCAGTATTCACTGTTCACTGCTTCACAATAAGGCTCCAAACTGGAACACTTTTTCCTGTGGAATTTGTCTCTTCCTTTATCAATGTACCTTGTACCCCAAAATACAGCTCCAAATAATGGGAGAAACCTACATAGAGTCCAAGGTGGCAAAAAACCATGGACATCAGCTGCTATGATAGAAATACATGTGCAATGTGTGTGAACAAAACATCCAGTACTGAGAGGGTATTTGCTTAAAATCTGCTGAGATTGTCTGAAAATTAAGATAACCATCAGCCACATGAAATAGTAATCAGGCAGTTATCAAGAAACCTCAGTTGGGAAAGAAAAATCAGCTAAAAAATCAAATATAAAAAGCACTAACATTTCTAACAAGGAGGAAAAAACAGTGAAAACTTGGTCTGACACCAAGAAGGTGCCCTTGGCACCTCAAGCTCTGTGGAGGCCTGAGGGAACACCCTCCCCTGGCAGTGGGCTGAGAACTCAGGGCTCAACAAGCACAGGTCACTCCTGGGGTGTCACCTTTGGGGTCCTGCCCCAACAGCTGGGTGGCTTAGCAGGTGACAGGAATAGCCCAGGTGAGAATGCAGCCACAGCATCCACATCTCCTCAGCTGATGGATGCACACAGGAACATATTCTGAGAAGGGTGGGCTCATAGCACTGAAACCTCCTGGTAAAGGGACAGGGGTGAGCATTTACCTGCAAATTTGAGGATGTACGTGTGGGGGCTGTGGGGCTTTGCTATAGGAGTGTGTTTAGGTATGTGAAGGTGTTTACTAAGGTTTTGTAAGGGTCTAGCTGTCATTATCTGTTATATTGCTGCTATTAATCCTGCATGTATAGTTCATGGACTAACAGTTATTTACAAGCTATCAACAAATCACTTCAACTTTAACTTGATTTAAGTAAGGCATGAGCAAGTTTTCCCTTACAAGCAGCAAATGCATTCCTTTGGTGTCTTCTGCTTATATGTAGCCTTCAACTAAACTTACCTATCTCAGGTTTTTATTTTTCTTTTCCTTTTCTTTCACCTGACAGCACCCAAGATATTAAGGAAATCACACTTGCTTCAGTACTCAGACTGATTCCAATCAAAGACTACAATAATTGCACTTCTCCAAGGTAATGGCTCCAAAACCTGGGCAAAAACAGACCACATCTTTGAAAAGTGCATATTAAGTCTTTGGGTTAGACAAATGAAAACTTGAGAGGTTTAGCATACATGCTAGCCTTCTAAAAAGTGGCTTCTTAAACAAGATGCTCTAATGAATTTAATCCCTGAGATCAGGTTCTTGCTTCAGAAAATTCCAATTAAACACCACATGAAAGCTTGGTGCATTTCTCCCCCTGCAACTGAAAGCTCAGTGTTAGCTCCTAGTTTTTCCAGAAAACATTAAAAGAGCGTCATTCATATTTTTCTTTTTTGAACAGTGTAAAGAAATACAGCTAAATTTAATTTTGCATGGTTCACTTTTGTACTTCTGCTGATGACATTTTTATAAATTAGAGGTAATGAAGAATCCTCTCTCATGTTTTAACTGCACAAATTCTTAGTCTTGAAAGTACAGGATCTCATTCCTTTATCCTAAACAGACTTGAATAAAACTACACATTGACAGATCTTGTAACCAAAGACCAGACCAAGCATACTTACTGATCTGTGACTCAAACTCTAAAATAAAAATACTCATGTTCATTAAGTGCAACCCTGCTTCTTCTAAGCTTAATTTTATTTTATTTATGGGCTCCTAGCTTTTAATTAATCAAAATAATAATTTCCTTGAATTCTTTTCTCATTCTGTATTCAGGAGAAAAATATTCTGTATTATGCATTAAGCTTAAGTTAACTAAGCTTACAAGAGACATTACATCACCTTCACAACTACTTTTTATAAGTTACTCACTCTGAAAAAGCTCTCAGCACACAAAGTACTAGGCTAGCAACTGGCAACCATGTTCTTCTTCACTACAATTTTAGAAAGCCATAAAGACTTAAATCTGAAAAAAAGAATTAAAATGAAACAGAGCCTTGTGACAAAAACATCTCTTCATAGTAAACTAAGTGTTTTCAAAGTTACTTATTCAAGCAATAGTAGAAACCAGGAGTAACCTAGAACTCCAAGTACTATAGAAAAAAAAAACCATAATTGCAGTTAAAGACCCCCAGGAAAGGCAGGTTCTTAAACACAGGGAAATTAACACCTTGCCTCCTGTTACATGTTCCCTAATTCCAACCCACATTCCACCAATGCCATATTTACTACTCCTTATTTTTATTACTCCCCAGCCCTTCCTCAAATAGAATATCTACACCTTGTTTCCCCCCCAAGGGCTAGGAGGAAAGCTACTTACCTTTTCTCCCTGTTCAGAAGATATTTCCCCACTATCAAAACACTTTACTATTTATGTATGCCATCTATGAAATATGAAATCAAAGAACTGGAAATCCTTCCTTTTCGCCATAACTTGGATACTTCAAAGGAGCACAGTAGGAGCACTTCTCCAATTAACATTTACCCAGCACATTCCACCTCCTCATTCCCTTAACACGTCTGAGTCACAACCACCAGCTCAAGTGACTGGAAATTAACCTACTAAAGCAACGATTTCTAAAGTTACATTAATTTGACACATAACTTCACAGAAACCTACATCTAGCAAACCAGAGATTCCTCCAGAAACAAGGGAATTTTATTTTAGCCAGAGAGGACCTGTAGAGTGATGCAGTATCTTGCACCAAGTCCACTGATGGAGTATTAAAAAACCAGAAGCTTTCACAGAAACAAGCTCTTGTTTTAGATTTAGTCTTTAGAGAGCTTTAAAGGTTATCAGCTCATTTAGAGTCTCTTCCCCTTTTTACAACAGAATTACCATTCTTTTCTAGGAAAACAAAAAATGAACTCATTTCCCTCAAATAATTATGGGTTAGGCTTGTAAGCAAAAAGAGGACAGAAGGTTGCAGCCCTCCTTCTCATGAGTTGTACCTTCTCTGTCCGTTTCTTATTCAAAGTCAAAGCCTGGTCAATAAAATAATCCCCCAAATCAGGACCTTACAGATGGGAAGAGTTCTGCCGACCTGGCCTGTTGGGTTTTGTGCTATGCACAAGTTCTGTCAAACTCCACCTGGTGGATCATCTTAAAAAAGCCTAGGAAATAAAACTTAAAAAGGCTTTAGCTCCACCAGGATTGATATACCTCTCAGATACTAGGATAAAACTTATGGAACTGTGTATTCGGTTGTATAGACATCATACTTTCTGTTTCTCCCCAACTCCATGAGTGCTACAATTAAGCAAAATCTCTGGGCAGGTATTTTTTCTAAACCTCTCATATTAATGGGTCATAGTTGCAATTAATATCAATTTCTGGTAATGCAGTTATAGAAAAGTCATAGCTCCATGGCACAGCTAAAGAGAAAATTACTCTTCTTGCTATTTAGCCTCTGACATAGAAAAGTGGAAAGTAATGTGTAAATGTAATTTTCAAGTAACATTTAGATAAAGTATCAATTATTCCCATCTCTTACAGTAACTTTTTACCCATACTTCCCAACTCGTAAAAACCATAATAATTTGTATCTTTGTATTTGCTGATAGTTTCTCTTATACGTTGTCTCATAAATACACCTACTTCCATTCTTTACTTTTATAATACACTATTACTTATGATTTACAATACACTAATATTTATGATCTACTATCCTTGAGAAATAATACAAAAATGCATTCAAGACATGTAAACCATACCTGGAGCAGCCCGTGATACTGAAATGCTGAAAGAGGTATTATTTTTGAAAATAGTAAATTTAATAAAAAGTTGAGAGTTGAATTGCTGTCTCAAAGACTTGAGAGAGCAAACTGCTCAAATATTTATCTAGAAAGAAAAAAAATAACACAATTTCACAGAGATAATGCTGTGGCACAGTACAAAAACCTCTGTTGTGCATATTTTATTACCATTTCAGGATGTCATCACTAAATAAGCACAAGTGAAGACTGTCTGCAATTAAAACTTTTATAGAAGTTTCAAGACAATTATTATTTCTGAAGAGCAACTATTTTTTTCCTCTTTTAAGAAGTCCTTCTATTTTTGCCAGATCTCCAAATGAAACTGTTGCAGAACCTCGCTGGGCTGGTTTCGCCTAAGGAAAAAAAAAAAAACCAACATATAGGGCTAATTTTAAATAAAAATATTTCGTAAAAAGCTTTTAAAACATTGCTTATTTAAATTATTTTCAAAGAGAAAACAACAGCTTCACATTACCTGTGACTCATGGTATTTCCAGCCAATCATGTAGTAGATCTGAAAGGTGGCAGGTACGGAGCCGTTGCTGTTTCCGTACATTTCTGTCAGGGCAGGAAGGGAGAGAGAGAAGGTACAGGCTGTCAGCTCTAGGAAACACTCAGTTCTCAGAACATCATATTCATCATAATGACTCCTGGTGAAAGATTTGGGACAGTAAAAATATCTTATACTGGTGCATCAATACAGTTCAAATCCTGGCATTACAATTAAGGTTAAAAATAGCTTATGATAATGGCATTTTGTTCTGAAGTATTTGGGGTTTTTGCTTTTGAGCAAATCCTTGACTTGTGCTTCCCAACACAAATCTCCTTACAGGCATAATCTCCTGACTCACTAGATAGCAGGAAAAAAACCTAATGCTTCCCCTGTTGCAATAAGATTTATTTGTATCTTTTTAAGAGGGAAATTCTTTGTGATGTAGATGGTGAAACACAGGCTCAGGTTGCTAAGAGAGGTGGTGGATGACACACACCTGGAAACATCCAAGATCAGGTCGGATGGAGCTCTGAGGAACCTGATCTAGTTCAAGATGTCCCTGCTGACTGCAGAGAGTTGGACTAGATGGCCTTTAAAGGTTCTTTCCAACCCACACCAGTCCATGATTCGGAGTTAAGAATCACTCAGTAAAACAGTTCTGTGTCTGGCCCACTGATACAGAAAACATTTATGTTTCTACATAGAATATACTTGCCTTGTAAGTCTTCCATAACCTCAAATAACCCTGGGTAGTTCACTTGGATTTCATCAGTATCCTAGAAGAATTGACAAGTTCAATTTTAGAGCACATCAAACTAAACCAATAGCATTATTTCAACCTTGCTGTACTAGCAAACTATTCCCTGCCCGTGGCAGGAGGGTTGAGACTAGATGATTTCTAAGGTCCCTTCCAACCCAAACCATTCTAATAATTTTATTCATCTGCCTCTTCTGCTCAAATCATGTATTTCTAATAAGCATGCACTATTTTAATATTTCTAAGAAGTTTTGCTTAATAGGCCAAATGCAATAAAATTTTAATTTAAATGCCATTATTTTCTTCTTGGTTTTAGAAGAAAGAGCAAGTGTCTGTAATTTTTTCAAGCAGGTCTAACATCTTCTGACATTTCTCCAAGAAAACCATCCAAATTCTACTGGGCCATGAGCCAATGATACACTTCAGTTGGTTCCCTTAATCACCACAAAGCCAAAACCAGTGGCAGTCCAGGCTATTTCTGCAGCCTGTTCAGCGAGGCGCCCCACATGCAGAAGGAAGCAGTACGTCATTACTACATTAGCAAACAGCGATACTCATATTCCAGCAGCTCTGATGTTCTGGATTGTTCTCCCTGATGGCTCTCTTACTTATAATTACCACAGTGAGGGTGTTGAAGCCAGCCCTGGAGAGCAGATGTCCCAGATCGGCGACGGCGGTGAAGGGTGAGACATGAGGAGAGAAGCCCCCTTCCCTCTCCAGCTCGGCCAGCTGCAGGGAGCAGCGCAGCTCGTACAGAGTGTCCCCCCCGAACATGGCTCCGATGAACACTCCGTCGGGCTTCAGCACATGGTGGATCTGCAACACACAAACACTCAGGGCACGCCTGTGGGATTCACGTTCTCTGAACCTGGGAGAAGCAAAGAATGATCAAAACAGTTCTTATCTCATTTACTGCTGCTGTACTGTTCACAAGCAGAATGCATTGTGGAAGACTGCCTACCTGAAGGGAATTGGTAATTGGATTCTGTGTGAGTTTTGATTCACTGACCAATTGAATCCGTGTGCGTGTCGGGACTGTCGGCTGACAGTCACAAGATGCAGAGCAGTTGAGTGCTTGGCAGATTCAGTTTAGATGTAATATAATGTAATATAGTATAATAAAGTAATTAATTAGCCTTCTGATAAGATGGAGTCTTCCTCCTCATTTCTCCCTGCCACGGGGGTCGCCTTGTTTCCCATACATAATTAAGTGGTTTTTATCTTAAAGAACTCAAAAGCAATCATTGTAAGAGCAGTGACAGACTCTTATTATTCTGTAGGGCAAGTTGTGACACAGCTTCTGGTCACACTGCAAACAAATACTCTGGCTGAAGAGACACTGTTTTCAATTTTTAAGAGGAAATCCTCAGAAATTACACTTACAGTCAGGAATCATGGAACAAACCGTGGAAATTGAGGGTAAAACTATTTTCAGCAAAATGATCCTAAAACAATATTCTAAATTCATTTACTTCTAAAAGAAGGGTAGATTAAGGTAAGTATGCTATTTACTTTTACTTTCTCAGAGCAGCAAAAGCACTTTTAATGGCTTGATTTAAGAGAAATTAAGACTTCAGTTTCCAGTACTGATCTCTGAACTCCTGGACAATCGAATGCCATTTTTATTATGTCTACGATTACTTATTATTAACTTGCCAAAACAGCAAATCATAATTCAAACACCAAGGCTGACAAGCTGCTTTCTGGTCTCCTAAGTTCTGGCCCTCTTCCTAGTGAGAAGGCAAATAAACTCATGCTTTCTTGTTTCTTTAAGAGTTGGAAATGATCTCTGGTTCAGACATCCAGAAGAGCTTGATTATATAACCAGGCTAACAAGACAGCAAGCATTTCCAATGCCTTTGAAAAAAATCTTTTCAATAGTTTTTTAATGAAGTATTAATCAAGCTACCTTTTCTGTGCTAGTAAAAAAAGCCTTTAATTGACAGGTAAGAAAATCAGGCAGTTAAAGGCAGTTGCCATTAGTTAAAGACAACACAGGAAATCATGAAAGCTGGCCAAGAAGCCCAGTTCCCTTGCCATTGTGAGAGAGGGCCAACTATATTTACTGTGGGAGAAAGTATTTGACCCTCCACAGAATACTTAAATTCTGGTGAAAATTGTGTATTTCTTTCAATTTTTTTTATAAGTACTGAATGCATTTCAATTGATTTTTATTATTTCAGCCACAGTAGGGTAGTCCTATTCCTACCAACAGGTGATAGGGCAGCACTGTAGTGATTGATCAATTTGAAATAAATGAAAAAACAGCAAACTGGTTAACATGTTTGATTTGACTAAAGTTTGCACCTGCAGAAAAGAGCTGAAGTAATCCAAAATAACCAAAACTGTTAGTGACAAAAAATTTTTGTTCTCAACAAGTATTTGCTTTATTCCAATATCAAAAAGCCTTGGTCAAAGCTGTATTTCAAAATAAACAGCTGAGACATAAAAATAACTCAAGCTCCATAAAGCAGCTCTGGAGCAGTGCAGTATTTTACTACAAACAGTAAGACCTAACAGTAAAAATCAATAGCACTGCCTCAGGTGACATTAGTTACCATGATCTCAGCTGTGGAGAATCCAAATATTGTACAAATATGTTGTTTCAGTTATTTATTCCAAACTGATCTGAGGGAGCAAATTATTAGCAATATCAGCTAATGCTCCTCAAACTGCCAAAAGTATTGCAAAAAATACTTGTGTGCAACAAGAGTTGTGTGCCTCTTATTTAAAGAGGACCTGGACATAGTGAGTGCTCTCAATGCAAGTAATGGCAAGTGCTAACTTAGAGTATTAAAAAACAATTTCTTACCTCTTTGAAAGCTTTAGGAAGGTCATTCACCCAATGCAAACTGAAATAACAGAAGTGTACATTTTATAATTTCAGATTAAATCAAAATTAGGGAATGTCAGTAACTACCCAATTAGCTAAGAAAGTTCCAGGAGCCAAAGCCACAAACTGATTTCTGAAGGTGCAACCATGCTGAAACACCCGCTTGAAACTGATACCAAACAAGAACAGAAGTTCATCTACACAGCACTTCTTTTTGGTGAGAAAGCACAAGTCCTGGAGACCAGCTTGTCAAAATGCAGGACAGAGAGAAACTCCAAGTGTTTTGAAGGAAATTAAACAAACAGAAAGAATCACCAGGACATAAGTTTTTCCTAATGCATGCTTATATTAACTATGCAAGTACTTTTCTTATTGCTTTTTAAAGGACTAGTAATCTTTGGTGAATTTATTTTCTTAAAGCTACTCTGAAAAGAATATTGTTAACAACTTAAAAAAACCAAAATAAATTATGAATACATACCTTAAGCTGCTGACAACAAGATCAAACGTATCTTCTTTGAAAGGAAGGAATTCCTCATCAGCTACGACCCTGACCGTCGGGATTTCAGATTCTACAGCATTTTTCTAATGTTGGGTTGGAAGAAAAACAGCTCATCAAAACCTCACTTGTTTTGCTTCCCTGTATTACAGAACTGAAGCACTTTAGCATTCAAAAAGCTACTTACTAAAGCATTCTCTGCGATATCAACTTGAATAAGTTTTTCAACTGTTTCCTAAAATAAAATGTAAAAGTTTATTAAATATGTGAATTATTTTGTAAATTGACATAAGTCATTTTTTGGCACTTACACCTATTTATGATAAATTAGAAAGAATCTTTCCCACTCCTGACAGAAGCTTTATATAAAGCACAATGCCCTTTTCCCCCACCCAATGTGGCACCTGCTCCCAGGGAGAACAGCTGAGGCAGAAGTGGTAACAGAAAACACATTCTGTGATTTTAGGCATAAGTTTAGTTAAACATAAACCATGGATTAACAGCCAAGAAGCACCTTTACTTACAGAGCAGCTCATGAATGGTAAACTGTTCATGGCTTCAGAGCCTCCATAATGACACTTCTCTTTAACAACTAAGTGTGGCCAATAGATTCATCAAAAAAACAGGCATATTTCTACCCAAAACTAAAAGTTAACTGTATCATAACGGATAAATTCCCTTATACATTTGTCCAGTTTTCAGCAGCAATAAATGAAGAACAACCTGCACAACACACAGCTTTGAACTATAACCACAGGTACAGGGGTGGGTGGGGAAGATTTACCTCATCACGACTCAGGTGATTGTCTTAAATTGTAACAGAGCCCGATTTGAAAGGAAGGCACATATAAGATCTTCCTTTAAACACTTATAAGTATGAAGAGACAGTACCTTGGTTAAGTGTTGAGCTATGTAACCTCTTCCAGAGCCAACATCCAAAGCGAGAGGAAACGTTCTAAAGGATAACATCAGCAACACAGAACACAACTAAGTCTTAAAATATTCTTAATTTTAGACCATATTAAGTTTCCCCTGCTAATCTCTAAGGGCCTTATTGAACTCAGCCCACCGAGCATCCTTTTGTGGTACCTCGGGGAAAGGCGTTCCGCATGCAGCGATCTCCCCAGGGATCCCGTCCCCAGGGGATGAGGGGAGGGCGCGGGGCTCACCTGGTGATGTCAAACACCCGGTCCGCGATCCTGCCGCCGACCTGGGGGAGAGCCGGCGGTCAGAATCACAGGATCCATGAGGCGGGAAAAGACCCCTGAGATCATCAAGTACGACCCATTAGTAACCAGCACCTCGTCAACTAAACCATGGCACCGAGTGCCACATCCAGCCTTTCCTCAAACACCTCCAGCGACGGTGACTCCACCACCTCCCTGGGTAGCCCATTGCACTGTCTGATCACTCTTTTCTGTGAAAAAATTCCTAATGTCCAACCTAAACGTCCCTCGGCAAAGCTTGAGACGATGTCTTCTTATCCTGCCGCTGGCTGCCTAGGAAAAGAGACCGACCTTCACCTGGCTACAAGCTCCATCCAGGGAGTTATAGAGAGTGATAAGGCGACCCCTAAGCCTTTTCTCCAGGCTGAACACCCCAGCTCTCTCAGAGGCCTTGTGCTCCAGCCCCTTCACCAGCCCCGCTGCAGCTTCTCAATATCCTGAGATATTCCTGAGTCCCTGAGCGGCGGAGCTCAGAACCGGCCACAGCACCCGAGGTGACCCCGGCCCCGCACCTCCTCCCGCAGGTAATCGCACTTGGCGGGCTCGGCCTGCAGCGCCGCCCAGTTCTTCTGCTTCCGCTTCAGCCGGCGGTCGAATGGGTTCAGCGCGCCCGGGCCCGGCGAGGCTCTGGCGGGAGGAGGAGGAGGAGGCGAAGCGGCGCTGGCGGCGGCCCTTGGCGGCAGCGCCCAGAGCGAGCGGCACCATCGCGCCCTCAGCGCCGGCCGCGCCAGGCCCCTCATCGGCTCGGCCGCGCGCGCCCCTCCGCGCCTGCGCTCTGCGGTCGGGGACTCCGTGTCCCGCCGCGGCCGCCGTAGCGCCGCCGGAAGTGGCCGCGCGGTGGCGGCGTGCGGGCAGTGCCGTGAGGGAGCGGCGGGCGCCGGGCACGGTCGGTGTGAGCGGAGCGCCCTCGGGGCTCCTCCCTGCGGTCTCCTCCGTCGCTGAGGTTGGGACGGAGCGGGTGTGGGGGCTGAAGCCGTCTTGGCGCGCCTGGTGCTGCTGGGGGGCGGTAGCTGCGGTGCGCGCTGGGTTAATCACATCGAAGGTCCCGTGCGTGGGTCTGGTGAGGAGTCACGGAGGGATGTATCTGCGACTCGGAGAATCATAGAATGGCCTGGGCTGAAAGGGATCTTAAACACAGTCTCGTTCGGAACCCTCTCCCATTGCTAGGGGCACCTTCCACCAGGCCAGGTTGGTCAGAGCTCCATCCAGCCTGGCCTTGAACATTTCCAGGCATGAGGCATCCACAGCTTCTCCGGGCAACCTGTACCTGTGCCTCACAACCCTCACAGGGAAGAATTTTTTTTTCCCTATCTAATCTAAATCTGCCTTCTAATAGGTTGAAGCTATTCCCAGCCCCTTGTAAATAGTCTTTTTCCATCTTTCCTGTGGGCTCCCTTCAGATGGAAGGCCACAGTTAGGTCTCCTGAAGCCTTCTCTTCTCCAGGCTGAACGATTTCAATTCTCTCAGTCTTTTCTCATAGGAGAGGAACTCCTGTTACCTTGGTGGTCTCTGGTCTTGCTCCTGCAGCTCCATGTTCTTCCTGTGCTGTGAGCCCAGATGTGGAGGCAGCTTTAGCTGGGTGTCACCTGAGCAGAGCAGAGGGGCAGGGATCTTTGAGGTCCCTTCCAACCAGGCGGCGTGTGATGCTATGAAATTGCCACGTGTGCTTTTGGAAATAACTTCTTAGGTACAGATTAGAAACCCAGCTTTGTTTAATCCTTGGTTTCTTTTCAGCTGTGTATCTGAATTTATGTTAATTGGTTAAGGTTTTTTTTTTTTTTAATCAGAAATGTTTGGGTTTTTTCCTTATTGTAGATGTCTAAGTCTTCAAAAATGGCATCGAAAATGTCATCCCAGGAGGAAATCCTGAGCGATGGCCGGTTCAGCTGCGTTGCAAGGGATCCCAGGTTTTGGGAGATGCCTGAAAGGGAACGTAAAGTCAAGATTGACAAGCGATTCCGAGCCATGTTCCACGACAAGAAGTTCAAGCTGAAGTACACAGTGGATAAAAGAGGTCGCCCTGTTAACTACACCTCTACAGAGAACCTCAGGAAGTTCTATGCCTTGTCGGAATCTGACTCTGATCTTTCAGAAAGTGAGAGTAAAGAAATCACGGCAAAGAAAAAAAAGAAAAAGAAGGCTAAAGGTAAAGGAGAAGGAGATTCTGCAAAGGTCCCTGCTGGTGGCCTCCCAAAGGAGGAGAGCAAAAAAACCCAACAAGGGGTGGACCAAACATGTGAAGAGGTGACTAAAGTAAATGACCTTAAAAAAGAAGGACAAAAAAATAAATCTAAGTTCAGCTTGAAAGAGGATTCACAGAAACCTGCAGTGGAAGTTGATCCCTCTCAGGAAAACAAGGGCCTTTTACCCAAAGGGGAGAACAAGCAAGGAGGTGTGTCAGGGGGAAGATCCCTTCCAATTCAAAAGAAGGAAAAGTCTTCACAAGGAAGTGCTGCTGAGTCAGTCAAAGCTCCCAGGAAGGACCACTCCCTAGGAGGGAAAATAAAAGAATCAGGTTCGTTGTTCAAATAACAAGGAGAATTCCGTTGTGTTCATTTGGATGTTGATGCTTTTGTTTTATCCATGGAAGGTATTTTGCAAGATTAGTTATAAAATAGCTGGCTGGCACAGATTCAGTGCTGCTGAAGGGTTGGAGTTGGTCAGCTCTGTATAGAATCAGTTCTGATTCTTCAGTGAGATTGTGAACAATCTCTGATTGTTGGTGCTAAAATTGTTGGTTAGTTAGGAAAGTAAAATTTATAGCAGCATATACACTGCTGTATTTATCAGACTGAACAGCAGATATATGAACTGATACCATGAAGGCACATGACAGCTTGTGGACTGAAATTGTAAACATGGCAGCACTGAGCCATTAATATTAGGGGGGATTAGAAAGAACAGGCAACTTGAAGAAAAGCTTTATTTATATTGCTTGTGCTTCTGTATAGCCTCCATTATTAAATGGATTTCTACCTGTTGGTTTTGTAATATGAATAAAATAGCAGAATATTTAATTACAGTTGTGATTGATAGTACAATTCTGGGCCTAAAGAGTAATTAAATTAGATTAGACCAGACCAGACAAACAAAAGAGGAAATGCTGATATTTTCTGTTACTTGCTCCTGCATCGTTACACCTTTCAGGAGTCTGTAAATAAGTATGAAAAAGCCCTGAAGTTTTCCTTTTTGTGAAGGGCCATGTGTAATTTTAACATAAAAATGTCTCTAATGTTTATCTTTCTGTGCTCAGACATCTGTGACCAAAGTGTAAAGTGTAAAAGCCAGTTAGAGGAAGAAACCATTTCAAGTGAAGATGCAGAATTGGAAGAAGAGGAAGAAGAGGAATCAGAAGATGGTGGAGAAACAGGCGAGGAAGAGGAGCCAGAAGATGATGAGGAAATGGGTGAAGATGACAGTGATTCAGAAGATGATGAAGAAAGTGATAGTGGGCCTGATCTAGCCAGAGGCATAGGGAACATTGACACGAGCTCAGAGGATGATGAGGATTTAAACGAGCTCTTTCCAAAGGAGCCAGAGATCGAGCACTCGTGGCGCGAGCTGGATAAAGACGCCCCTCGTGGAGATGAGGTAACAATACTTGGCATGTGAAAAGCTGCTAGATGGCAAACTCAGAAATGTTATGAGTTCATTACAGACCATCGTCTATGGAACAGTTTGTGGAAGTATTTTTCATAAAGGTTTTTCAGCCTTTTAGTGACAGAATGGAAGTGTAATGAAATTGTTTGACAGTGAGAGACTTGCAGCTTTCACTGGTGTCTCCTCTTCCCCTAGGAGCACTTACCTATACCTATGAATGAGCTGTCTGCAGGTGAAAGGACAAACAGAATTGAGCCTTTCAGTAATTGCAGAATTGAAATAGTACTGCTTTTGTTCATTACTGATTTTTTTTCACTTTTCAAAAATTTAGTTATTTAACTCACACTTTAAGAAATTAAGGCATCATGAGACAATGAAATAGGACTTTACAACTAGCACAGTCAGTGTGTAACGAAATCACAGTACTCTAGTGCTGTCACGATAGTGGTAGTGGTTGCTCCTGAGACTAACAATGTTTGATGATAACAAAATCCTAAGCAGTTCTGTTGTTGCTGCAGTTCTAAATCTGTGATTGGTGCAGTCCATTCTGTGGTGCTTCACTACTTATGTCCTTTTTATGTGCTCTGGTAATTGATGTTTCTCATCTTTGCTACTTTAAGTGGTAAAAAGTCACGATCACAATGCTGCTTTTATTTTTTTCAGCAGGGTATATTGCTGGCTTTGATTTTTATCACTGTTCTGCTAGAGAATTGTGTATTCCCCACAACAGTCAACAATTAAACCTATGATTTTTATGTTCTTTCAGATTACAAGTAGATTGGCTGTTTGTAATATGGATTGGGATAGGTTGAAGGCTAAGGATTTGTTGGCTCTATTTAAGTCTTTCACACCCAAAGGAGGAACAGTATTTTCTGTTAAGGTAAGGACTGGTTTCTAAAGGGAGTACTGACTTGTACTGTTAAAAAAAAAAAAATAGACTGCAAAATAAGAAGCAAGACAGTACTGTGGAGAGCCAAAAGAAACATTAATGTGTTTAGAGAGAAGCTATGTTGCAGTTTAACTTGCTGTAGCAGGCACGTATTTGGCAGAGTTAGAGGCCAAAGCCATTGACTTCTTGTGTTTATGAGGTTGGCCCTCAGTGCTCGTTTTCTCCAGTAGGAGGAGACTACATTTCCTTGATTAGTTTAATATTCAGTGGTCTGGATGGCAGATAACCCAACCTTAGACCCAGCCTTAGACCTTACTAATAAATTGGTTGTATTCTGGCCAGTTAAGTTATATTTTTCCATTATTAGTGGCTGCCTCAGCTCTCTGAGAAATTTTAATCAGATACCTCTTTCTGAAGAGGGCCACAATGTACAATGAACAAAGTCAGTTGTTCTTCATCTCAAAATTCCTAGCAGGCAGTTTGGTTATTCTACTGTCTTTTCTGTGTGTTGAAATTAGGCAACTATTAAAGTTTATGGAATTGATCCCTTTACTGATCCTAAATAAAAACTGTGAAGTGTAAAAGCCTGGAGAGGGGTTTGTTTTTTTTTCTTAGCTAGTGTACATTACATCACAGTTAAGAATTTAGTTTTGTGTTGTTGTATTTGTAGATTTATCCTTCAGAGTTTGGAAAAGAGAGATTGAAAGAGGAAGAACAAAAAGGACCTGTGGAACTGTTTGATCTTCCAGAGAATGCCACAGAGGATGATGGGTATTAATTTTAATTTTGTCTTCAAATGAGAGATATGATATATTTAATTCTTAGTGGAAATCCCAATCAGCTCCTGTTTCCAGGAGTTCATATGTGATAGCATCCTGTGGACACCTTAATTTTGTAGTTTTTTTTCAAAGGTTGTTTTACAACAGGCACTGGTTCATTATAAGTCCATTTAATAAATTCATGATGAAACTTGAGAAAATCTGATTTTTTATGTGAGTTCAAAATTTTATGATGTAGCTCATTGGAATAATCAATGAAACAAATACGTGGGTAGCTTAAAACCCAGCATTTCTCCTCTACAAATTGCCATTTGTGCAGTAAACTCTCTTTAGTGCTCACTGTCAAAATTCTTACCTGTAAATCAGCAGGGACCTTAGTCCAAGAATTCCCAGACTGAGATTCCTTGCGTGCCACCAGCAACAGCTCTGGCCTCCTAGGCTGAGTTCCTCAGTCCTACCATTGTCCTGGCATGTCTTTTTTGCCTTTTTTCAGCTTTTGTTCAAGGTTTTGCTTTAATATTTTTCCAGAATTTCCAGATGTTTGGCAGCCTGACTGGGGCCATATTTGTATAATGCATCCTGCTGGACTGCCCTGTATTTAGAAAATCTAGATGCTTCTAAAATACGGGCAGATCCCTTTGAAGACATTCTCTGGTGCCTCAGGAGAGTGTCAGGTGGATGTAGAGCATGTTCTGAGGTCACCTGCATTGTGTTCATCAAGGTGCATCCTGAAGTGTTGGATTTACTGCTCAGCAGGCTTGAGAGCATCTGGAATCCAACACACAGAAATCCAGGTATCCCAGAGGTACCTCAGTGGTACCTGTGCCCTTCAGATTCACTGAACCTCATCCCTGAGACCTTTCAGTGGAGTCCTGTACAAATTTTACACTTAATAAAACTGTCTGAAATAGTTTTTTTACTTGAAGAAAACTCAATATTGGTGGAACTTTGTGCTGTTTAACATTTAATCGTACAAGATTAGGAGAGTGGTTGATTGGTGCATGTTTTTAATGAGTTAAATTAAAAGATACTGTGAATAAAAAGCTGTTAATGCCAGCTCACCTGACTGGTCTTTTCTCCACTTTCACAGGATTTATAGGGAGAAACTGCGGGAGTACCAGTTTAAGCGACTGAAATACTTCTATGCAGTTGTAGAATGTGATTCTCCTGAAACAGCCAATAAAATTTATGAGGAATGTGATGGACTGGAATTTGAAAGTAGCTGTTCTTTCATAGACCTGAGGTAACTCTACTGGTGATATTTTTGCACATTGGGCCAGGGAGAGTGAATTAAAGGCAGTTTATAATAATTCAGAGTAAACTGTATTACTTTATTCTGGAACCAAAACGAGATATGAAGATAAATTGGGCATCCAGTGAGTTGTTAGGTTTCCCTTTGGCTCCTCTTACTCCTTTTTAACCATTTTTATTGTAATATGGGAAGTTGAAGCATCTCTGCATAAGAGAGTCTATTTTCATAGAAGCCAGATGAAAAGTTCTGATTATATCTTCAAGCTTTTGGTACAATTAAGTAAAGTGATAGGATTCAGAAAACAAAAATTTTTTCTTTTTCTCTCCCCAAGGGTCCAGAAGTGGATCTTCTTTGTGATGCCTTGCCACAGGGCAAGATTATTGCTGCTGTTGTCACAAAGCTCAAATAGATATGTTAGTCCTTGTGAATGAGCTGGATGCTCTGATTTTTCAAAAGTCATGTTTGGGAAAGAAAGGATTTAAAATTATGGTTTGGTTTATTGTTAGTATTTCCTTTTGTTACAAAAGCCCCCTTTCATTCTAAGCAGAAAAGTTACTAAATCACAAAAGTTGTGACAAAAGCCCTGTTTGTCTGCTGGGGCCTCTGTTATGGACACCTTTGGAAGTCAGTGAAAGTTAAGGGTTTTTTGCTTTGTATCATATTCTGGAGAAACTCCGTTTGCTTTGAACTGTTTTGGAGAAGATACCTTTGCTAAGGGAGCATGTAACTTTTCATCATTTTAAACACTGATAATGTTTTACAACAAACACAGTTGTGTGAAAGTCTGCAATGATTTTCCTAATCTTCTGCTTTGTTAAATTTTAATGTTGAGTACTATTTATCAGATTACATTTGCAAAGATTTTAAAAAAATCACACGTAATTTCTCAAGTAGTATATCAAGGGGTTTGGGTGTTTTTTTTAAACTAAGTTCTTCAATTGTTACTTTTTTTTTCCTTACTAATTATAATTTTCAAGATGTACCAAACTTTCCTAAAAGGTTTGGAATTTCTTATTAATCTGTTTCCAAATCCTATTTTATTAACTTTTTTCTTTTTAATTTTTAATATTAAACTTTCTGAAAAGATCATTCTTAAAACAAAACCACCAAAAAAGCCACCTGTGACCCTGTTTATACCAGGCTGAAAATTGAAATACTTCCCAAAGAGGGTGTTGTTATACACTGAAACCCTGTGGAACAGATCTGCAGAAGCCAGGCCATAAATCTTACATGTGTGGAATACTTGTTCATATCTTTTGTTCCCTTTTCAGGCTTACCCTCTTTATTTTAGCTGATTCCTTCATGCTGATTTACCATACTCAGGAAAGCTTAGGTTGTTTATACTGTGCAATTTCCCGGTGTATTTGAAGAATAACACGTTTTATTTGCCTTTAAGATTTATTCCAGATAATGTTACATTTGATGAAAAGCCAAAAGATGTAGCCTCAGAAGTGAACATTGCTGCTTATAAGCCAAAGTACTTCACATCTGCTGCTATGGGAACATCAAAGGTATCTTTACAGTGGTTTTGTAATGCTTTTCTCATTTGTTTAGTTTTGCTCTCAGCTTCATATATCATATGAATGATATATGTACTGGGGAAAAGATTCCTGCTTATCTCCACCATTTCAAAATAAAGACATCAAACATCTTAAAAGATTTAAGCATGCTATGGACCTACAAGTTGCAACCCTGGTTTGGATTTTAAAGGAGATTGTGCTTCTCTTTTACAAATTAAATACTGAATTTTGACCTCATTATATCTCTGTGACAAGTTGCACATAAAATTGCTTGGTTATTTACAGTCCAAGCCTTTAATTTGCCTAAAATGGATGTTAGTGTATAAATCAGTAAGAGTTTTCAGGCTTCAACAGTTGCTTCCCTTCCTTGTAGCAATTCATTCCTATTCTGTCCTACTGAGAGCCAAAATTCCCATCTGGCCATGAAGTGAACCAGATTGGAGAAGTGATTAGTTGAGAAATAAGTCCTTTCTGTTGGATCATTTTTCAGTCAGATCTGTTCCACGTTCTGGTTGAGGCTGCAGTTGCGCAAACACTTTCATTGTCTCCGTTGCAATCCGCGTGTGATTCCGGCAGTGAATTGCTGCTGGAAGAGGAAAAGAGAGGGGTTGGTGGCTGCTTGAGCTCCAGTATCTGTTGCCACAAAGGAAATGTGGCTTACAGAGGTTTTGTGTTGTGAGACCTGCTGTTACAGAACCTTTCAGTGCACGAGATTTCTGCATTTTTTCTTGTAGCTCAAACTCATTAAAACTAACTGTAGAATAAATTCCAAAATGTTGTAATTAAATTCATGTTGCTAAATGGTTATTACAGTGAGTTATTGTAGAGAGAATTACTAACAGGTAGTTGAATGGAAAGTATAAAATAATTTTCCCTAAAAAGACAGTGTTACAGTGTTTAATTTTAGTGTTCTAGCTTCTACAACTGGCATTCTTTCTTTTAAGGTAGATATCACATGGGATGAGACAGATCATGAGCGAGTAACATCACTCAGCAGAACTTTTAACAAAGAGGAGCTTCTTGACATGGATTTTCAAGCTTATTTGGCTTCATCAAGTGAAGAAGAGGAGGAACAGCAGCAAGGTACTTTGGTAATAAATATTGTACACAAAGCCATTAGCTGCAGGGTTTTGAATGTAAATTATTCACGTATTTAAATGTCACATCTATAGAAAATGCCTTGAACGTCATCTTTTACAAGGACAGTATTATATTTGTTGTATAATGATTGTGCCCCTGAGCAGAATCTCCAAATAGTTCAGACTGGAAGGGACCTTAAAGATCATCTAGCTCCCACACCCTGCCATTGGCAGGGACACTTTCCACTGGACCACAGTAGCTGCTTTCTCAGTAGGAGCTTGCACCTCTGAGTGGAAAATAATTTTCTTGCATTTTGTTTCTCCTCCTACTCCCTTTTTTATCTTTTTTCAGGGTATCTTGATGTCTCTTTGTCAAGTTTGGCAATATCTGCTTTTAATCTGTTCATTTTTGAGATAAATTATAGGCCCATAGAACTTGAAGTGTTTCATTTTCAGAGGAAAACTCCTAGTTTGAAATGCAAGGTGGATAATGACTAAATGAACAGGAACATCTTTCAAATGCTTTTTGATTCACATATCTCTTAAGAATATAAAGAGAATTTAATCTAACTTTGTAAGGTACATGAGTCTTCTGCATATGGTGCAGCAATGTTTAAATTCTTGATTTAAATTGATTGTTTTCATTCTAAAATTCATCCTGCTGTTAATAATATATACAGCCTAGATTACAAGGCAAATAAAATTTCATTAAACCTTAATTAGGTCTTTCAAACAGATGTTAAAATTGATTTATACCGCATTAAAGCAGGTTGCTGCAATCAGAGATGAGCTTGGAGCATGCAAAAAAACATTGCAGATTCTTCTGGTTATAGAGTTGGGAAACCTTGTGGCAGCAAACTCATCTTGGCAGTGATAATGTCCACTTGTTTCTCGCCTGACATGAAAACTCACAAACTGCACTGTAATGCACTTTAGTTTCTTTAGCAATACATAGTGAAGTCTGTAAAAGGGACCAGGGGATGCAGAGTAAAGCACTTACATCTTCTGTCAGGTACAAGGCTACCAAGATGCTAAAGATAAGCATCTGTGATAGGGTGGTGATGAAAGCAAATATTCATGTGAACAACAGGAATTTTAAAAAGTAAAATTCCATTGCTGGGAAGGGAAAAAAAAAATTACCTTAAATAATCTTACCACACTATTAAATTTTAAATCTGGAAATATCTAGATTCAAATAATGTTTTGAAAAGGAAGTTGCTAATAGAGGAATTATGTTGTCATGTCTTTAATATGTTCCTGACATTTTATCCATTCAGTTATGTGATACAAAACAGGATTCCATCTGTCAGGGTTCCATCCAGCAGAATTACGTGGTGCTAAGCACAAATGGGAAAAATCAATGTCAGCTGCTTGAATGGAAATGTAGGAGTCTGATAAGGAGGAAAAAATGTCCTGGACTTCTCTTCATACTTTTCAAACTTATTAAAATGTTTTATTTTTAAAAGGGTTTTTGTTGGCCTGTTCTAACATATTTTTTCATGGAATTTTTCAACTTAAAATACGTGCATCATGAATGTTGGTATTACTGTTAAACAACAGTTCTGTAAACATCAAGGATTTCAGTGACCTGGAATGTTGTAGTTCATAGCACAAAATTTTGCCTTTACGTTGCTTCTGAATTTTCTGTTACTTGGGTACGTTTATCCCAGTTAGGAAGTGTTTGTGGCATTCATCAAATCCAGCCCATAATTGCTATTTTGACACTGTGGACCAGTGATTTAGTGTATGGCATTTTAAATATACTTCAAATTAAGCATCATGGGGTTTATGTCTAAGCTTTTAATCTGGTTTTTTATTAATATTTACAAGAGCAACATCTTTTCTGCTGTTCTTCTTTACACAGCACACAAATAGTGAAATAGACTCTGTGATAAATACTTTTATAGGACTTTTTTTAATTAGCTGGTCTTGATAGAATCATGGAATATCCTAAATGGGAAGGGACCCATGAGGATCATTGGGTCCAAGTTGTGACTCCATAAAGGGAAACCTAAAAGTTAAACCTAAGGGTTGTCCAAACACTGAACACGACCACGCTTGTAGGAGCTTCATGGAGATCCCTGCTCTCCTCAGTGGGAGTCTGAGCAGGAAGCCCAGTCTCTTGTGGCTTCCTGCTCAGATATGGGGCATTTAACTTCCAATGTAAGACTCCACAAAGCCAGTAGGTCTTTTATTTTGTGCTGCTGTCCTGATGCCAGAGGTGCATAAGTGCACTAAAAGGAAATGTAATGGTCAGGAATGAGGATTTTTTGTTTAAATAATGCTTCTAAATCTTATATTCAATAGTTAAGGTTAGATAGAATCAGACTAGTTGTTAAATCTTTTTACAACTCTGAAATCTATTTGTTGCAATAAATCATGACTACATATATAAATTTAAATGCATAGTATAGCATTTTATTAGATAAGGTACAGCCTTTTTCTCTTAAAAATGAACAGTATCCACATGTGTTTATATTTGCTGAAGCTATTACAGAAGGCTGAGAAATGGAGGGTGACAGAAGTAGAACATGTGGTTATTTATTATTGTCTGTGGAAAGAAGAAGCAAGAGGGTTTAGCAGTTTATGAGTTGGCCAAGCCTGGGTGGAATTTCATGGGAATTTCAGAATGCAAATACCACAACCTGATTATTTTCTTTCTGTGAAGCATCAGAAACTTGATACAACTGATGCAGATGTTGGATACTTTTCCAAAGCATGTTTGCAGGAACTGTTGGGTTGAGTTTGTTTTGCAATTAAAGGTGCTTGCAAGGCCAAGAAGAGTCATGTCAGCATTCCTCCTAGGAAGTTCATATAAACTGTTGGAGGTGTCCAGTAACTTGAAGAATGCATCTCCCTGTGCTTTTGCAGGCCAGCGAGTCCCTGCTCAGGACTGACTCTGATTGCCAGAGTGTTAGCCTTGCCTTAGGTCTGGCTGGCTCAGACAGGTGCTGGAAGGCTGCAGATACAAAACTCACCTGGTTTGCAAGGGGGGGTTTAAAACTGCACCCAGTGCACACCCCTCAATAGTTAGACTACACAGACCTGAAGGAAAAAGCAAAAAAATCTGAGAAAATGCCATAATTCAATGTTTACCATTGATTTACTGTTATCTGATTCTTTGCATTCTCTTCTTCCAGTATCTTTTCTCCCTGAAAAATCTTACAAAAAGGCATGGACTCTGATAGGCTTTGAATAAACTTCTTGTATTCTAAATTTTTCCATTTTTTTATTAACACTGGGATGAACTAATGGGATTTGCACAAATCCTTGTTCAAGAAGTGCTTAAAATGTGGAGAAAATGGGGTTAAACCCCCGTGTCTTCTTTGACATTATTTTCTGGTTCACGACTGATGTCAACACATTTAATTTTTCATGGCATGCTGTAGTGCAAAAACCTCTACCTCAGACTTGATTCTTGAACACTGGAGTTTAAAGCTTTTTGGTTTTAATTCTCTGGGTCTATATGCATTGTATGTATTTTGGTTTTTACTTTTTATCTGTCTGAATTTGAGTAACTACCCTGAATAAAATTGAGACATTTAGGGCAGATTTTATGGTATGGCTATCAGCATCCAAGTCAGTAGCTGAGTTTTCTGCTTTGCAATTGCATCATGGGAAGAAAATCCCCCCCCTCCGCCCTTTAGAATAATTCAGCTTTGCAGCAGACCTCTGGTCAGATGTTATATCTGCTAAAAGTTTTCTACTCCCTTTAGTTTCACTTTGCCATTGCATCATGGGAAGAAAATCTCCCCCCTGCCCCGCTTTAGAATAATTCAGCTTTGCAGCAGACCTCTGGTCAGATGTTATATCTGCTAAAAGTTTTCTACTCCCTTTAGTTTCTAAGACTGAGTTTTTTAAAAAAAGGAATCATCTACTCAGCTATTGCAAGATAATCTTCTTAAACTAAGAGCACTGTCTCTTCACAACCATGTGATTACAAGAACATGATCTCAGCTAACTCGGCTGCCAGTCACTGATTTAATATATTGAACCTCTGCATTTGGTTATATTTGGTATTAATGTCATCTTTTAAAAACAATTTGTTGTATTGGAATCTTTCTGACCAGCCTCATGATTTGAACTTTCTTATTTTAAAATGTTTTAGCACTTCTATTACTACTTGTTTTTGAAAACAATAAGAATGTGCTTGTATTTTATACTCTAAATTTCATCAGGTTTTGCCTTTTTCTCTTTCCCAGGTTGATTGTATTTCTCTTGCAGTGCAGCGGTTAATGCCCCAGAACTTTTTGGTTTGTGTGTTTTGTTCAAAAAGCCTTTGAACAAGCTGTTGGCAGAAAGCATTGCTGCCTTAATATCCATCAGAAAGTGGTTCCTGATGTTGTGCAATACAGCTTGATACTTGAAAGCCACTGACAAGGTTATTTGAACTCTGAACAAACTTTGAGAACAAACTCAGATCACTTTCCTTTCTTGCAGCTGTTGTCAAATGTGCTTTATTTGCTTACAGAATTAAAAGCTCCTACAGTCCTTTTGAAGGCGATGTTGAACATTTGTTTTAAAACTGTTAGTTTTGACAGAAGAAATACAAGTTCTATCTAAATGAGAAAAAATTACAATATGCAATTGCCACTTAAATTTCTCCTAGCAAAATGAGTGATAAATACAGACTGGGAGCCCCTTGCCTATCCAGGTTCTAGGTATCCTCTTTTAGCTTAAGGATTTTTTCTTTTCCCATGCAGTACAGCCTCTTCTTTCTCAGGACGCTAGGAATAAGAAACAACCAAATGTCTTCTTTTTCTACTTGTCTTCAAAACAGAGTTGCCTTCTGCTTTCTGGATGAGCAGATGCTTCCCTCTTAGGTCCCAGCTTCTGACGAGGAAAGTAGAAAAGCAGCTGCAGCTGACTTGACCCCATGTGCCATGCAAAAGATGAGCCAGCAGGGAATGAACCCGGCCTGACTGAACAGAGAGCTTTGGCTGGAACTTAAGAAAAGAAAGGAGGGTTTATGAACTTTGGAAGAAGGGGCAGGCAATTCAGGGGGACTACAAGGGTGTTGGGAGGTTGTGCAGGGAGAAAATACGAAGGGTCACAGCCAAGCCAGAACTTAACCTGATTACTGCTCTGGAAGACAAAAATTGTCTATATAAATACATTTGCAATAAGCGGAGAGCTAAGGATGATCTCCATCCTTTACTTCCCACGGTCAGGGAAGCACCGTGACAAAGAATGAGTGAAAGACTGCAGTACTAATGGCTCCTTTGCCTCAGTCTTTAATAGCAATGCCAGTTCTCTGGGTACCTGAACTGGGAGACAGGAACAGGGAGCAGAAAGAAGCCCTTTTAATCCAAAGGGGAATGGTCAGTGATCTGCTACACCACACAGAGACACAAATCTGTGGGGCCAAGTGGGATCCACCCAAGGGTACTGAGGGAGCTGGCAGATATCGTATGTGGCTCTTAGCCACTTTCCATCATTTTTGGGCAGTCCTGGATAATCAGGGAGGTCCCAGTTTACTGAAAGTTAGCAGAGGCAATGCCCATCTACACAAAGGGCTGGAAGGGCTGGTTTTGGAGATTTACATTCTACTCTGCTGGAAGGGAATCTAAAAGTAGTAATTCTAAAATACAGTGGGTGATGTGTGTTCAGTGAGTGATTTCTTTTACAGGACAAATTTTTTGTCTTTTCAGATACTATTTTATTTCATCTAAATAAGGGAATTCTTCAACTGGCTACTCTGTGGGGTAATAATAGATGAAAATATTTTATAATATCTTCTGGAAATAACGTGTGTGTCTTAGGTTTATTTCACAAAGATTAACTTCAGTTGCTCATTTTCATGAAGCTCTCTGAGATAACTTTGCTCTCTCCTCCTAGATGGTGATGTAGCTCATGAAATGGAAGATGACAGGCCGAGGAAAAGCCAAAAAGATGATGAAGAGCAAATTGCCAAATACAGAGAACTTTTGCAAAGTATCCAAGAAAAAGAGAAAAAACAGGAAGAAAAGGATATAGGAATGGAGATTAAATGGGTTCCAGGTAGGGTGTATTTTTTTTCTTTTCCTGCCTTGGCAGATATGTAGTATGGGTCTGCTGACAGGGATATAGTGTAAGGTGCTGAATTTATAGTAGGAGAAACAACCCCTTTTTTCCCCCCCATAAATTGAAATCCAGATTGTTTACAGTGAGGGAAATAGAAAAAATAACATGACTGAACTCAGTTCCTCTGCTGTAAGTTTCTCTTTATAGATCATTTTTTGCCAGGGTTTTTTGTACTTGTTTTTTCAATTATCACTTTATAGACGTTTTTAAGTAGAATTCATGTGTTTGCTATAGAGTCATAAAACATACTTACACTTCTAAAAATGAAAATCAGTATGATTTGGAAACATAGTGTATAATTATAGGAGAGTGGTTTGGAAGTGTTGCTTGCATAAGGCTAAAGATTTGGAGGAGCAAAGAGGAAGAAGTCTGACCTTCCAGTGAAAGTGCTCTGGGAGAAAGCAAGGTACCAGGAATGGTTGGGGAGCAGTGACATCCAGATTGACATCTGGAAATCAGTGAAAGGTAACTTCAGCATGCAGCATCCAGCACAACTCATCTGGAGAGCCAAATGTGAGTGTCTACTTCTCTTTTTCCTTTGTGACAAAAAAACACTCAGACTGAATGCATTGTGTGAGGTGGAATGAGCCAGTTTAACAGATCACTACATCCACAGAGGAAAGGTTTGCACTGTGGCATCACCCTGGTCCTGGCCCACAGCTCATTCTGACTGTCTGTACCAGCCCTCACACTTGGTAGGTCTCTGCAAGCCTAATTTTGTTTGCTAAAATAACAGAGCTACTCTGGAAAAGAAAAAATCTGGATATTTTCCAGCGAGTTAGCATGTCAGGCAAATGTTCAGAGGGTTAAATGGGCAGCTGAAAGACTAGGGAAGTATGACATTCCCTTCTTGGGAGCAGCAAGGTGCAGCAGCTGTGGGACTGCAGCCCATGTCAGGACACAGCCCTGTTCTGTTACTGCATTTAGCAAGACCAGACACATGCCAGAATCCAGGCCCTTCACTGCTGATGGGTTAGTCCCAGCTAGGAATGCATATCTAATGATATGATTTATACAAATATTATTCTGAGTTGTGACTCAGGTAACTTCTGCTGAATAGTTCTGCTCGGTTTGAAATATTCTGGTCTGTAGCAGTTCACAGAAATGGACTAAACTGAATGGAACAATTTTATTCCTGTTTCTTCATCAGACCTGTACTCAAAAGTATCCAAGGGCATTAAAAATTCTGTGCTTTCAATCATGCTTTTATAATTCCAGTGATTTCTGGCATGAATTCTGTCAAAACCTCTTTGAGAAAGCATGTATCCTGCAACCAGGACGAGTGCTCACTGACACAGTGTCATACTCCGTCTGTCCACAGCATGTCAGTACTTGCATTCACGATGGTGCTCACTCAGTAGTTAATTCATTGTGTCACTGAGCATTCAAGGCCAAGGAGTTCTCATAGATAGGTAGCTCTATAAGACTTCTACAGAGATTTGTTGTTGCCTCCTTTCAGAGTGAAGGTGGAAACCACAGGTGAATCAGTTGCTGCTAGGAGTGTGTTTTGTATTTATAAATGTTTGTATGTAGTTGTTGAAGTAACTATTCTTTGTGTTGGTTTTGGAAAACACATTTGGAGGTTTTTTTGTTTATTATGCATTCTGTTTTTCAAAGAATTTTGCACATTGTGTGAAAGAAGTCCTGCAAATTAAAAAAAAAGTTTGAGCAACTTAATGTGGTAACATATTCAGGAATCTAGAGCAAACCATTCATTTTAGGAGATGGAAAATCGTTTTAAGGGAGACCAAAGGAAACTCTTTAGCCTTGCTTGCCCTGAGAGAACAAGAACTTCTCTGAGAGGCTGTCCTTGAGACTGTACCTTGCATATTACGAGTAAATTGCATTCACATTTAGTGGCAATGGAGTATTAACTGTAGTAGAGATGGAATCCAGTTCCATGATGCATGGACTCTCTGTTTCTTTGCAATGGAACTTGACTTCAGCAAATTGGATTTGTAACATACACCTAGTCCAACCCCTTCCCTACTGCACCTTCTTGTAGGATTCCTAGGACTTTTGCTATGTCCTTAACTCTTTTCAGGGAGGGATGGTAAAAAAAACCCAAACAACCAAACAAAACCCCTCTATCTTGATTAATTTGACTGATTTTGTCTAAATGTAGCTGGATGTCCATGCACAGGGTCATGTTTGTTCGTACAATTTTAGGTTCAATGTGCATGTGTGCACAATGAATTTTACATGGATAGTTTATAATATTTGATATTAATTTAGCAACTGTAATTTTACAGTATATGTTAACATTTCCTCATTTCTTACCCTGAAAAATTAGAGGTTTATTGAAGAGCAGAGGTTCTGGAAATCATAGAAGTGTTCTCTTGCCTTTGTTAGAGACTGTTCCCCTTCACAAGGGCAGCAGTGCCACTTCTGGCCATTGACCTCTGCAACACAGTTTTGTCCAAAACACAAGTTGTAAAAGGGAAAATGGGTGTCTTAATTTTGCTTTTGAGTCAAAAATTCAGCCCTTACTTATTTCAGGCAGCATTTGGAGAAGAGGTTCTGCACACCTGCAGGGGATACTCTTTTATATATGTTTTTTGTGTCATGGAGCATAGGCTGCACATGCTGAACAGTAGTTTATAGCTCTGGCAATTTATGCATGCTTGAGGCTATACTTCCTTATGGGAGGGAGGATAGTTGTTATGTTATTTTTTCTTGAACAAATGTGCTCTTTTAAATTTCAAAGTCATTTATGTTTAGTTGGAGCATTCTGGGCATTCAAAAATAGTTTTTGTTGAATTCTCTGAAGACTCCTTAATTTTTTTTCAGAACTAGTTTATGTCTGTTGAAATATTTTTATTATCAAGTTCTGCTTAATGTGCTTGACTTATTGCAAAATCTTTTTCCTGTCCAAATGTTTAATACATGGAAGAATTACAACAGTTAAATCTAGGAAGTTTTTCAGTTGAAAGACAGATATTTGAATTAATTTAAAATTTTGAGTTTTGGCACAGTTATTTACACATGGTTATAGAAAGCATACTTTGTCAATGATTCAGTTATTCTTGAATCATAATAGTTTTAAATAAACCACAGTGCCAGCAAAAATAAATTAGATGTAGTTCCAACTCTCTTTGGTCTGTTTCTTCTAGGCACAAAATCAGTGTTATATTCAAGCATCCATCTGTTTTCTTAATCATATCTGATTTAAGCAACAATTGCTATGAATCCTTATCCAGCTCCCAAAGCTCCCCTTAAAAGTGAAAAGAGAGAAGACCACAACTGCATTTTCTTGATGATATTCAGCCAAGTTTTTGGGGGTGTTTTTTGAACTTAAAAACTTTTCCTTTGGGAAGAAGGAGATGTAAATATTTAGCTAGGCTTAGAGCAAAATTTCAAATTTGTTTTGGTCAGAAGTAGAATAGAAGGCTGTGGTGTCTGTAAAGTGCGTAGTAAAGCCCAACTGTACAGTTAAAGATGATGTTGAGCACAGAAAGTCTTGTAGGAAATATTTTATCTCCATCTGGGTCTGTGTCCCCTTCCTGGAGTGGCCTCAGCTCTGCAGCACGTGCTGAGCTGTGTGGGGGCTCACACCTAACAGTGCTACGTGTGGTGGCTTCTCACAGGCACACTTACTGCTTAGGAAAGCTTGGTTGACTTGAAATATTTTATCTTTGGGGGTGACAAGTTCTAATGTTATCAGAGTACTTCTATTTGCTGTTCCTTTCAACCTGCAACAAGGTGTTTCATTTTTCTGGTGAGGCATTACACACAGGATGAACTTGCTTGTTTAGGTTTCCTGAGAACAGAAATTTGTCTTTCTACCCTCTAATAGCAGTGACAATTGCAGGCTGTTAAACTTCCGTAAGTTTTCAGAACTGAGTGTTTGGAGAAGTAAAAATTCTGCCTGCACCCATCCCTTGCTGTCCCACCCGTGTGAAGAGAAGTGTGCTTAGGTTTGCTGTAGTATTTACACCATGTTTAATCCTTTAGCTGAAGTATGGTTTTCTTGCATGCTAATAGAGATGACATTTTTCCTCTCTTGCGCTCTTTTGTGAAGATTAAATAAAAATATTGGTTCATTAATTCTAAAAAAATATATATATCAATAAGGGTATATAAGTTAAACCTTTCTATGGCCAGCTAATATTTCTACCTAAAGTAGACAATTCCTTCCCCCTTCTGGAATCAAAATCCTTTTGACCACTTAAATACACTCTTATTCTCGGGAAGTGGTCTGGACAGTAGTTTCTAAGCCATTCTAATCTGTGGAGAAACTCTAATTCCTTTCATGAGACTGCCAAATACCACAAGAAAGGGCTGGATTTTCCTCCAAGTTCTTCAGTGCCAGATGGATCAAATGATTCAATTTTCCAGGCAAATAAATCAGAAATATTGTAACTTCCTTTCAGATTTTGGGTCTCTCTTTTGCTGGAGATGTGGCATATATTTTTTTTTAATTCTGTATCTTCAAAGAGAATCTGCAAGGTTGTTACCTGACCAGTAATTTTTCCCATAAAAATATTACAAAGTATTCAAAGTTATAGTGGTTCGGTTTCAAGGAAGCTGATGACTCTGCTTTCATGGACTTTGAAGACAACTAAATATTTGTTCTTGTTCTCTTGTTGTAAGAGAGTTTCTTAATGGCATGTTTTTAGTCAATCTGCAAAATCCTTCCTTTATCATGGCTTTGATTTGTTTGCTGGTTAAGTACCCAATTTTTGTGACTGTAACAGTTTGCCACTTACTGTTCATTCTGGCACCTTTCCAGAGTAGTACAAGGATCCTTTATCATGTTTTTGCTCCACTCTTTTCCTCCTATGATTCTGTGCTTTAACAATATTTTAGATCTTGTCCACACTTGGTATTTCAGACAAGTTGTAACCAGCTCCCCAGCCTTGGAATGATGTTTGGAGTGTCAGTGAACACAAAAGCAGGGATTAGTGTTTGCATTTTTTCAGAAAAATGTTCTGCCTGCTCTTCTGGGGACAGCTAGTACTGTCTGTGAAAGCTGCCCTATTTATTCCACCATGATCATTGTTTTCAGTTCCTCCATACTGAGGAGAGCTGGAAGGAATGATGAAGAATGGGGACTTGGCAACTGAGAAATCTGGGAGAAAGAATGGGATCTAGTCTAAGACATCTGGAGGGGTCTGAGTATGATTTCTGAGCAATAAAACTGGGATGAGGGCTGGGAGACTGTAGTTAGGTCAGGGCTGGGCTGGTGTGGCAGAAGAGGATGCTGAAGAGAGACCACTGGAAGTAGGACTCGGGAAGAGACAGTATCAGGCCTGGAGAGCCAAGCAGAAAGAGGATTCCTACAAACTCCCAAGAAAATTCAGTCACTTTGTGGGAGACAATGTTACCTGTAGGATATCTGACTGATTTGTTACAAAGTTAAAAAAAAGTTTTAGTGAATGAAGAAAGGAATTGCAGGTAGGAGAAAAATACTTCATTGCCCAGGCTGTTACCTCCTACCAGGGAAGTTGATTCCGTTTCTTCCAATGAATTGTGCTCCAGGGTACTGCAAGACAATTAAGTCCTGTAATCTCCTTATATAATGAAATTTTGTTTTTGCAAGTGCCCATCTTCTGAAGAGTGGGCTGAATGTTTATGAGGTGCATCTGAAATCAGTTTTCATCTTCATAACATCCAAGTGCCCTGTGATGCAATGAATTTTAGAAAAATATTCTTGATGTGTATGGAACTTTTTACCAAAACTAGAAGGTTGCTTGTAAGTTAAGTGCATATTCTGAATTTAAGTATTCTACTTATTCTACTACATAGGAATGCTTCAGATATTTAATGGATTTATTTTTAAGGTGATGTTCTTACATCAGTCAATACTCTAATGATGCATATTTATAGAAAACTTCATTCTGTTCTATTTGCAAAAAGCTTAAAGGTTAGGACACACTTGTCTATGCAGATTAAAGTGCTGGGCATGGAAACAGTGGATGTCTGTGCTAAATTATGGAATTTAATGTAAACCTAATTCACACATCCAAACTCAGCTGTCTGATCCTGTTAGGCCAGAATCATTAAGAGCCAGAGGTGTTGCACGTCTATGGGGTTGACTTTTCTAGAACAAAAAATACAGTGTTCAACAGAGATCCTACAGCATTGTCAGAGTATTGTCACAGAGGCAAAGCTTCAGCAACGTGATTAATTCAGAATCTTAACTAATGATGGTGTGGTACATTAAACATAAGGGCTCTGTGTATGTCTGTGGGTTTTATTGTGTTACTACTCATTCTGGCATCTGTAAACTGCACAGTTGAATGTCTGCAGAGGAGACCTTTCTGAGGAACAGCAGGAGTTTTGGGGATCAGATACCACACAGCAAATGCTTCTTCTGACTCTTGTACAATTTTTACTGAAGGAATGTTTTATTTGGAAAAACACATCCTGTAAAGCAATCTTCGTTGTAAAAAGATGGGTTTTTAAGCAATATTTATATTGTTTGCACAGACTTGTTGAATAAAAGCTAGATAACTCTTTTGGAAAGGAGAAAACAGTTTATTAAAAAAAAAATTCAGATTCATCACATTTTTTAAATTTACTATGGCTTTTTTCCTAGGCCTCAAAGAAACTGCTGAAGAAATGGTCAAAAACAGGTTGGAGGGAAAGGATAACCTGACTCCATGGCAAAAATATCTAGAGAAGAAGAAAGAAAAAAGAATTCTTAAGAAAAAGAGAAAGGTAATGTTTATATTGGCCATTTGAGGAGGAATTGTTATTTGTTTTCTTATTTGTTGTTAATGTTTGTTTCAGATAAACAAAATAAATTATCCAGCTGCCAGTGCTATTTTAAGGTTAGAATATACAGTGGTCACTCATGTGGAAGTACTGGGAGTACTTCAACAAACCTACAGAGGAAAAGGATATTCAGCATACTGCTGACCATACATGTGCTTACACAAAACATCTTTTATCTACTTGTGCTCCTGTAAAGATAAATTAGTCATAATAATAATTGGCTTTAATTTGCATTTTTAATGCATTAGAAGCGGTCTTTTTGCTACTGTGTGTATATCAATTCAAAGTTGTTATGACAATGATAATTGTAGTTGTTATGACAATGGTAATTTGGAAATTTTGGGGCTAAAATAATACAGACTTGTTTCTCACACTTGTAATAGGAAAGAATTAATAGCTGCAAAGAACATTCAAATTTTAAATTACAAAAGAAAAAATAACCACGTGGCATGCAGAATCTAGGTTCTCTAAAGTCTTAAATTACTCCCAGTGTAACTCACATTGCTGAATTACACTTCTAAGAGTAAACTCTACACCTTGAGTTACTCTGTGCATGTCAGTAAATTTTAACTGGTGCGTGATGAGTAACTTCTTCCAGTTGATAAGAGCTCAAAATGGAGCAAGCAGCACTGTTCAGTAGCAGAGCAACTTTTTGTAGCTTAACAACCTTGTCCAGTTTGATAAATTAAGCCAAGGAGCAAGGTGTATGACACACTACTACCAGTAAGAAAATATGTTATTTTAAAGCTGAACTCCAGCTTTTTGAAATCTGCAGCACAAAATGAACTTTCTTATTCAAATTTGTCCCAAGGCATAGCTTTTGTGGAGCATAAAGTAAGGACATAATAGTGCTGATCCTGTAATTTTGTTGGAATGGTTGTCTGATGCATCACAGTTTGGGGATATGCCTAATAAAATGTATGAAAGAGGGTTGAAATTGTCAATTTGTCTTTACTATCAGTTTCTACTGTGCTCTGGTTTTTTGATGTTCCATGTACAGTATTTCTGTTTTCATCTTCATAGCTACCAACAGAACATCTCATTCCAGCGAAACTTAAATAGTTGATTGATTGAAATACTGTGTTCAAATAATCAAATGTTGATTAAAATAATCAACATTTGTGCTTTGTTACAGGCTGCTGCTGAGAGAGAAGAGAGTGAAGATGAACTTCCACCTGATGTGGATCTCAATGACCCTTATTTTGCTGAAGAATTTGAGAAAACAGGTCAGTCAAGACAGGCAACTTCTAGAGTAATGAATTCTAAATTATGAATTCTAAAATAGAATGTTCAGAATCAAATGAAGTAGGTGTTATTTGCCTAAAATTGCTATTACTGTAAAATTATGTGTATTGTAACACATGGAATGGTATGGAATATTCTCTTGGCTTTCACCAGAGACCATTAGTTATGCAGTTCCTGGGGATGGCTGTTAAAAACAAACTGCTCCCCTAAGTATTCTAGAGAAAAGAACTCCATTGCTTTTGAAATCTTTTTATTTAGGAAGAGCCATGTATGGGTCCCTTTGAAGCTTGGGTCAATTACAAAAATGCCAAATGTTTTTGCATCATAAACAAAGTTGTCTTTGAGAAGAAATCACTTTTCTCTTAGTCTGATGCAGGTTTTTACTGGAGTACTCTTGGTTTCTTAGAAACCCCAATAGTGAAATGTAATATTTTAGAAAATAACTTGCTCAGTTTAGATGTTTAAGATACCTTTTTTACAAGCTTTTTATTCTGATGTTTAAATTAGTTTTTGCCATGGTAACAGCAAATTTATTTTGAGTGATTTTGCTGAGTAAAATCAATAAAGGTAAGTTTCTGATGTTCCATACTTTTGGGAGCCAGATCCTAAGGGTGGCTCATATTTCTGTATATTAAAAGAAGAAAAATGACATAAAAACAAAAGAAGGAAACAGACATAAAGAAGATAGGAACTGATTTACTCATACTGCCAGTCTGTTGTTTGGTTGGTTTTTTGAGCATAGTAGTGCAGATCCAAGTTCCATTTTAAAAGGGTAAGTTACTTTAAGTTTTATACTTGCCAGCACAGGCTTCCGTCCTGAATGTTAATGTCTACCCTAGGATAAAATAAATAACTAACCCCCCAAATCTGGATGATTTTGTACTTAATAATCTGAAATATACAACAGTAGAGTGAGTCTTGTCCAGGTTTAAAAAAAATACACCACAATCCAAAGTGTCATGCAGTGCTGTTTTCTGCCATGCTTTCTGGGTGGCTTGTGTATAGGTTGAAGTAATTAATTGTAAAGATAACCATTCCTTCCACCAAATTGTTTAATTGTTCTTTAATACCAAGATTACCTAGGTACTCTCATGTGATGTGTGATGTTCTCTGTGAAATCTCTGAAACAAATGTTTTCTTCTGAATTCTGTGAGAAGTTGTGTCCTCAAGGGGCTCGGCAGAGAATGAGCTTATCTGCACATTTTTAAACCTTGTCCATAACATGGAGAATAGACTTTAATGTTTGTGGAGTCTTTGAGGATAGTTAAATACACATAAAAGTTAAGAAAGTGAAGCTTTTGTCTTCAAGATTACTGATAATTACTGAGATACAGGAGAAAACCAGGACGTGGTTAGCCCTGGAGAAGTTCTAAAGGGACAACACAGTGGCTGGCTGTGAGCCAGTTTATATTTTAATGGTAATTACACAGCACAGCTTTGGCATTCACCAAGTTTACCCAGAACAGCCTCTGTCTCATAGCTGGGGTTGCTTTTAAGCACAACTTATCCAGTGAGGGAGAATGGGTTACAGTCATCTTTGAACTTGGCTGTAATTCTGCCAACTTTGTATTTAGGGTACAGGCAACTTAAATGACCATCATTTTTCACAAGCCTTCCACAATTCCCCTGGAAGATTGAAATTTCACCCTTAAATTGACTGTCAGATTATTTTAGATTATGCTGGAAAAGCATATGACAGGGTTTATTTGCAGATTTATGTGGACGAGTGCAGAAACTGAGGATGCAGTAGTGCTGGATTCATTTGTTGGCCGTAACATGCATGGGTCCTGTGTAGCTCAGTTTCTGTCAAGCTGAGGCAATTGAAAGGAAGCAAGAGTGTAGGGAGGTGCTAGACCAAGGGCCTAAAAACTCTGAGTGCTGTGCAGGGAAAACTGGAATTTATGGGTAGTCCACCTGAAGCATGTGTTTCTCAGGTATGTCTGTGTTCCTGATAAGCAGGAAATGATTCTTACACTGTGGGTGCTTCACCTTGGGAGAGGCAAGGTAGAAGAAATTCTTTGTGTCTGCTGTGCCCAAAAGCTGTCTGTCTGGGGTTCGTGGTAGTACTTGCTTTGCACAGTTTTCAAGTAACTTTTTAATAGTACCACAGATCAGATGCTGCAGATACATGAGCCTTGATGATCCATTCTAGAAGCTTGACTCTAGTTTCATATTGTCAAGAGAAAAAAAAAATTGTCACTTTCATTTTACACTGATGCCCATGCTGTTTTAAAAAGCCTTGTAAGACTTGGGTTTGGCTTGGCCAGTTTCACTGCTACTGCATCAGCTTCTGTGGGACCTTAGAAAAGTGAGACAAAATTACTCTTTTAGCTTAAACTGTTGAAAAATTAATGGCTAAATAGTGTAATTGCTTATTAACATGAGAGCAAAGTCCTGCTTTTGGGGATCACTGAACAGTTTCAGAACATATTAGACTATTAAACATAGTTTCTCTTGAACCTTTGAGGAATTCTCCACACATTATTGTAACTCCTATTAGTTCCAAACCATTAGATGCCTTCTCATGATATAATTTATGATGTATGCAGATACTGATGGCTCTTTAAAGCTGGAAGGGAGCAGTATGAGTGCAAGGACCTAAGAGCTTAACGAGAAAATCAGAGTATAGTTGTGGAACTTGTACTTGAAAGATAAAGTAGATGAAAAGATTGATTTACCATGTGTCTTTGCAAGGCTTTTGAGACTGACTCAAATTTCTGAATAAGGCAGAGGTCTTGTGAGAGGAGTTTTTGATTTGGGGTCAGTTTCTGTGTCTGAAGTCCCAAAGGTATGATTAGCTTTTACTGTCAGCTGGAAAGTTGTTGATGTGCAAAGTTAATTTTGAAACAAAATTCTTGAGCTGAGAAAGAGTCGAATGGCAGCTTGAGTGGGAATTACAGCAGAAACTGGACACTTCTTACACTGGCTGGTGGCAGCTACCAGTTAGTTCTAGGTCACACTGAAGTATCTTCTGCTGTAGGTGGGACAAATCTGACTGAAAGTTGGCAGTGGGGATGAAGTGCTAGGAAAAATCCAAGGGATAGCAATAAGTGTGCAACAAGTGTGTATGGTGGGGCTAGCAGAATGTATGTGGGAAGAGGGACTGTAGCAGAAGTATGTTAATAATACACAAAAATGATGCATTTGTGAATTTTCAAGCAGAACCATTTTCAGTATGATAAAAATTTTTGAGTCCCAAGGGTGATTTTAGGTCCCTGGTTGCCTAAAAAGCTGGGTTTTACTAGCTGCATAGTGTCAAAGTAAGAAATAAAGGGTTTACTAATTTATTTATTTTCATGGAGAAGAGCTCAGTTTGATACCAACTCCTTGCTCAGCCCCATCTGCAGCCACAGAATACTCTGAAGGCATAAGGATCACTTCTGTGATTCCCCATAGAATGAAAGAGGAGGGAAGGTGACTTGAATGACTTACCTTTGGGAAATGTGTAGAAAGAAAAGAAATTTATTGATCTAACTTCTCATATAATTGTCTCCAGTTTTATCTCTGTGCACCTTTTCTGTAGTTTAGCCACTTCTGAAAGACAGAAAGATTCCATAGTTGGTGAAGGCCTACAGAAGTCATTTACTTCTCCCTTCTACACATTAACTTAAAATATGTAGTTTAGGTAACAATATCATATCTGAATCTACTTTTCCTGCACATTTTCTGGAACTACTAAATCAATAGTTTAGTTTTTCAGCTGATGATGTGCATCGGGATAGTTTATTTTTTTGTGGTGGTGGTTTGTTTCTTCTGGAAATCCATTTCCAGTTTGGAATCCATGTGGAAATAGTCAAGGGAATAGTCAAGGCAGAAAAAAAACCTTTCTCAAGAAATACGTCCTCTTCCACAGTATCCTTAGTGATATAACTTGACATGTGTCTGGCATGTCTGTATTTCTAGTCAGAGTACAAACCTGTCCTAACAAAATGAAGCCAAATATCTTCCTTAAGAGTACTCCCAGTGGACTGCAGTAAATTGCCTGGGTATGTCATTCCAAGCTCAAAGGTCAGAGTGTGTGGTTCAGGTCAGGAAACCTTCTGCTTTTCCTGCTTTTTCTTGATCAAGATCTACAGACATTCCAAAGAGAATAATTTGATTTTGTAGGATTTATAAACAGGTCTGTTTTCATTAGAAGTGAGGTTTGACTAATGTCTTCTGCTGTTACTGTTCATTATGTCTGTCATTATCAGCACTGTGTATCTGAATGCTAAGGGAGTAGGGGATCTTCCTCAGAACAACATTGAGTCTGAGCAGAGTCAATCATATTTTAATTTCCACTAGAAAATGCTCTGGGAGTGGTGTGATGTCATGGGTTTGCCTGCACTATTGTGATACTTCTCTCTACTGCTCTATGAAAAATACAGTAAAACCATGGGTTTGACTTATTTATGCCATTTGAATGTGGCTGCCTCCTTAAACTGAACAACTATTCAGTGCTTTTTTACTGCTTTAAGTCTTCTTGGTTTTTCTTAACTTTGCAGCCTTTTTCCACATCTGACATTCAAATACTGAGTGTAAGAAAATGAGATGTACTTAGAAGTTCTAGCTATAGGTAAATTATGCTCTCATGCATAAGCTTGGATAAATCTGTTCATGCCATGTTCATGCACTTAGGTTTAAAGAAGAAGCCAGAATCAGTAGAAAGTACCTCAGAAGATGAAGACGAAGTTGAAAAACAGAAGGTAAAGTGATGTAAAATGTTGCATTGCACGAATTCTGCAAGTATTTGGTATGTGTTTGTGAGTGGAACTGCAGAATTTCATAGGACGGCAGTAGAATAAAACTATACAATTTTAATATTGAGAGCTTTTGGAACAAAAACTACCAAGAAGAAGTTTGTGTGTTGGGCAGTGCCAAATTTTTATTTTTTTTAACATCAGTATTGTATGAAACATTTATGAGTTCTAACCTTGTCCTGTGTATTTTTGTCCTTGAAGATTATTTGCTATTTTGTGTTTTCTTTTCATCCTTTCTCAGAACAAGTTAACTAAAGGAATTACGTAACTCCAGATGTGTTAGTTTTTATTTTGCTATATGAATATCAGTATTAAATTGTATCCATTAGTTATTTCTAAGCTGAGGTGTACAGTTTTTAGCTGAGATTATTACTGTGTTTGAAAATTGAATGTGCATATTTGCATTCATTTTGTATCTAATAAGAAGGAAATAATTTGTATTAATACTACACCTCAAAATGTTAAAAGAATGTTTTTTATGGATGAAATAATACTGCCCTGATGACCCCATTTCAACTTATTTAAATAAATGTAGGTTTTATTAATGAGATGCTGAATTTTTTCATAGAAAAGTTTCACTGTATACATGGACTTTCTTATTTTGTAACAGGCTGAAATGGCCCTACTGATGATGGATGATGAGGATGACACCAGAAAACATTTTAATTATAAAAAGATTGTAGAACAACAGAATTTGAGCAAAAAGAAAAAGAAACTTCTTATGAAAAGGAAAGAATTATTAGAAGATGACTTCCAGGTAATTGTGTAGTTCTTGACTTTGTGACTGGAGCAGTTCCAGGGATCTCTTGAGCTGTGACTTCTGAAGCAGTTCATGTTTTGTTGGGCTTAAAAGCTTTGCTGTCATGGGAAAAGTTTACCTAAAATAAATGCTTCTTTACTCCCTTCAGGTTAATGTTGCTGATACAAGATTCCAAGCCATGTTTACTTCTCCCCTGTTTAATTTGGATCCTTCAGATCCAAATTTCAAAAAGACAAAAGCAGTAGAAAAGATCCTGGAAGAGAAAGCTCGCCGAAGAGAAGAAAAGGAGCAAGATCTTAAGGAGGCAAACAAGGGCCTGGAGAACAAGATGGCAAAGAAAGGAGAGGTTGCCAAGAAAGCCATAGATCCTGCCCTGTCAATGCTAATAAAGTCTGTCAAAAATAAAACCGAAGAGTTTCAGGCACGGAAAAAGCAGAAATTAAAATAACTGAACTTTGATTTTACTCAGCCTTTACTTTAGTCCAAGCCTTGCTCACTGGAGACATCTGTTCAAGTTACTGTGGCCTGCTCTAACTCCTGTCCACCTGAAATGTCCTGAAAATTCATTTAACTATGTTGGTGAAATGTTCAGAGTAATAATCACTCTTTTCTTTTGCCACAACAAATACTGTTTTGCACATATGTAAGGAAATTATGGTCTTGGGATGGTTTGTTTTGTATCATGTTATCTCTTAAAAATCATAGAAGCGCTGAAGATGGCTAAAAACATCATAATTATGGGTTTATCTATAAATAATAAAAACCATTCTGCAGAGGCTTGAAACTAAGTGGTTTTAAAGTTTTTAATCCCACAGAAGTCTGTAAAACATACCTGTCCTGATAAAGAAGGTAACAATATAACTAGAAATGGAAGAAATTTTGTATACAAGTTTTTTGTCGATTTTTAAAAGATTGCATAAATGCTTTATTTGTTTCTCTTTTAAATACTTGAAGGTCATAGAACTAATTCATGGAAATATTGCCATTTAGAAGTGTTTCATTAACATACTTTGGAAATAAATATTTTAAATTGGCCCAAAAGAATTTTGGGTACTAGCTGTGCTTTTTCCTTTCACGCCTAAATGAAATTACATCAAAATAAACTTTTTGCTATTGTTATTACATTTCCATTAATATGATACTTAGTCTTCCAGTGTTGCAAGTGTTAAAAAAAGGGGCAGGGGGGAATGAAAAAAATTCAAGGCAGATCTAGATGACACAATTTTAGAAAACGTTGTTTGACCATGTTAGTGTTGGTGACAAAGGTGCAGGGAGAATACAGTATGCAGAAAATGATCACTCTTCCCTGGAGTGTGGCCATTGATTAAGGTTTGGTGTGAGTTGGGGTGTTGGGATTTTTTTAAAGGTTTGCTGTATCAGCTATAATGGAAATACAACATGGCATTACAAGAAAGACTGAAAACTTTAGAAACAAGGAGCTGAAAGGTAATTTTCCATTTTAAAGACATTTTTAGTTTCTAAAATGTTCTACTAATTAACCAAAGACTTCTATGAAATCAGAGGTTAAAACTATTAATAATCAAAGCCAGTGTTTTTATTAAGTAAATTTATCTCAGTATGTAAAGGAGATAAGAGAGCTGGATTAGCAGATGGGAGGCTGTAGAGTGACCAAAACAGCCAAATGTATTAAGGAACATAATACACAAATACAGGTGGAAATAGATTTTACAAGAGTGCTTTGCAATGATGTGCCTATGGAACACTTGCAGACTGAGAGTGTTTTAAATGTCATTACTCTTCATAAACATTTGAATATCTTCAGAGTTACTATGTTTTATTACTGGGTCCATAGAGAGTCTCCCATAATTTTGTTTAGTAATTTATATGGAAAATAGATTTGTTGGGAAATGAAAGGCAACAACAAACTGCACTGTCTCTTGAATCCTCTAACCCTGCTGAGTTCTACCAAACACTTCTGTGTTATTAGTGCCTTTCAGCTTGGTGCTTTTATAGCTGGAAATCAACGTGGAATCAGTGGATCTTGCTCCCGAAGATTGCCCAGACATGCTGAGTGACTCACTTCTGTACTCCTGAAATGTCTCTGTCCTTGACATAAACTTTGCTGGATGAGTCATTTGAAAAATCTAATTTTATATAAAAATATAAATTTTATAATTTTTTTAAATTATAAAATTTAGAAGTTACAAATTGCGATGATTTCTTATTGAAATTAGATGGTATAAATTATGTTGTGTTGTCACATGGACATATGCTGGCTACTTTGTCCTGTTAGGAAGCCTTGCCTCTACTTGGATGTCATAGCAAGACAAAATGCATGGAAAGGTGAAGGCAGACTTCATAGTGATTTTGATTATTGGTTGAAATAATTATTTTGTTGTACAGTAATGTGTATTGAGTACCCTGTAAATGCTTAATGTATGATCATTTTATGTAATCACGTTACTTTGTTCTTGGTTTTGTTCTCAAGTTACTGTGTGCTGAGGGGGCATCTTAGCTGGGAAGAACTGGAGAACTTCAGGACCTGTCCTAGCATGCACCTTAGAAGAGAATTTTTTTGATTGTTGATAAAATGATTAGCTCTAAAACCTCTTTTTACCCTTAAAAACAAGGTTTAATTGCTAATTAATAATTCAAATCACATCATCTAATCTCCATGACTCCAGATCCATGTGAGCAAAATCTGACATGCTTTCTGTGTCTGCAGCAGAAGCATATATTGAAAATCTGGTAAGAATCTAGAATTCCTGTAATCCATGTGCCTGGGTGTAAACAAAACAGATGATGGTTTTGACCATTTAATTTTTTTAAACATGAAAGTAGAATCTAGAAGTTTCAACCTCTCAACTTTAAGATATGATTTTACTTTTCACTTTCACTAGATGTCATGTAACCAGCAAAAGTGAAGGCAGTGAAGTAAAATAACACATTAAAAACCAGCACTGTTAAAAGTGAGACAAATAATTTTTCCAGCAACTTATGGAGGTCTGTTATAAAGTAATTTGTCTCCAAGTTGGCAACAAGCAGAGCTCATGCTGAATGTAAGCCAGGCCTTTAAAGCTCTAATATTACAAGGGGAAATGACAAGAGGGTTTGATTTATTGATAAACTGAGGAAGATCAGACAACAAGAGATGAAGAGCCATGTATGTTTTCAATCATTCCTCCAATCTAAAAATTAAATGTATTATTTCCAATTAATACCAAGTTGGTTTTTTGTCCTTTTCATATATTGATAGTATCCAAAAATAACAGTAAGTTTTGCTATCACATACTTTTTTAGCAAATAAAGCAAACAACCAAAATAAAGTGGGTTTTCTAAAGAAGATCTTAGAAACTTATGTTATATATGATCTATATTTAAAAGAACTAGAGCAATTAGTTTGCTTTGCATTTGTCTTAAATCATGTTAAATGCCTTAGTCAGGTTTTGTAGCTGTGATAAAAAAAAACAACACTGGTACTTCTGATGGCACAGTAATTTTCATTCATTCCTGGAATACTTTAAAAACTGTAACTGAATATAAAAATGGACCTTTTAATGTAGAGGACTATGTTGCTGCATTCCTGTAAGAAGCAAGACAAAGTGGCAGAAAGGTCTGTTCTGAAGTTTTCTGTCCTTAACATCCAGCATTATAAATGGGAATATTTTTGTCTGGGCTCTGGACCCAGTCTAGATGAACGTCACCTAAGGTCATTACTACTTTCTATCCCTCTCATCACTAACATATGAGTAATCCCTGCTCAGGACTGTTCCAGCTCTGTCTTTCAGCAGTGCAACACGGCTGAGATTTGAACAGCATTGCTTGTAGCCACCAGTGAGCCCCACTGGCAAGCCCTGCTCCTTGCCCATCCTCATATACACCCCATTACAAATTCATGGGCAAATGCTCCTGGACTGTGTCCTATGAGCTCCTTGGCACTGCACAAATCCCTTGGCTTTGCATTGAAATCCTGCCCAGTGCACTTAGACCTTCCTCCTTTTGTATTTCTGGGACAAGGAAGCAGGGAAAGGACAACTGGGGCAGATGGGTGATATAATGATCTCCTCAAGCCAGATCTTTATAAGCTCTTGGAGATCTATATCACACCTGAGATAGCTCAGCCACCTCAGATGGCATAAAATCAGCAGGATGGCTTCTGTGGCAGTGCTGGAAACAGAAAAGTTTTAATAAAAGGCAAAATAGCAAAGCTCTTTACAGAAAAAAACCAAGCCAGGGCAAGAGGCTCTTGCTCCTGATAAAACACCTCACAAAAGAGATTATTTCCTTTGTTGTCTTCTTTTTCTAGTAAATTGTTTAGGTGGGACTTTTTGGCTTCTGTCCAGTTGGCTATCCTTAAGTTTGAGGTGAAGTCCCCAAGGTTCAGGTATTTCTTGCCTGGAACATGTTTTGTGAAACCTCACTGAAGTCTAAGGACTTCAATAGGCAATTTTACCCAGAATAAATTAAAGGAGCAGATAAGCTTTTTATCATATTAGGAAGTAAAAGCAGTAGAGTGTGTTTCAAAAGACAAAGCGCAAGAAGAAATCTAAAATATTCAATAAGAAATCGGAAAAACCCCCCAACCTCCAGGCTTTAAAACACAGCTGGAATCTTTGTAAAAGGAATAAAGAAAACCTTTCACTCCAAACCTGGATGCTGAGGAACGATTTACAGAATGAGATCACCTTTTTATTGGAGTAGCAACACAAATCTACATAAGAGTAAGGACCAGAAAACAGGAAAAAAACCCCAAGAAATATTTGGCCAGTTTGAAAACTGTCACCAACAGCAGAGGGCAAGTTAAGTAAAGGCATCAAAAAACAAGTGAAAACAGACATTTGGATTTGAAATGCAGTTCTGGAAAATGGTATAGGACCAAACATTGACACAAGCTTTAGCTTCCCCCCTAAAGAATGAAGGGCTCTGATATTGTCTATCTATCAGTATGACAGCCCTACCTTTGTAATTTCATTCATTGCCAACTTCAAGGAGATTTGACAGCCAGGTCGACTCAAAATATGTGTAGCTGAGAGTCAGGAGAAGGAGTGAGACAGAAATTGCCTTTCTTGGCCACAGATGTAACAGCTGGACACAGAAAGGGAAAATGGGAGGCAGAGGGTGCATAGACCTTACACAGGACAGAGAGGTGAACGCTAAAGGTCAAATCAAAGCTGCCTTGGTGGTGGCCAATGCTGTGCATTGAAGAAGGGCTGCAGCCAGAAGGCAAGTGCATTGCAACACTTCCACAACACTGTGAAAAGAAGAGATCAAGATAAAGAATTTTTGTAAAGTTCAATAAAGGATGAAATAAGAGACAAAAGTCCAGCTCTGGGGTGCTCCTGGCAGACAGCCAAAGAACACAAGGGTACATCCTGACAGTGTTATCTTCATATGGTTACATTGCTGAGGTACATGCATATTCATGTGTTTCATACATTATTTAAACATTCTTGAGACCTTTCTGATGTTTTAGGAGCTCCTTTGTTTGGCTTCTTCACACTCTGGCTTATCTGCATGATATCCTGGGTGTCAGGTCAATATATTTTATTTCTTCTTGTGTCTCCATCCTGCTGTCTCACATCCTCTGGTAAGGATTTAGTATGTCCTCCTTAAATTTAACATGGTGTTCTCCGATTGTGGTGCTCTGGTTTGTGTCATGGTTATCTCATCACTTGGAGGATTCAGTCAATGGAAAGGGGAACACCATGATCACCTTACACCATTTGTTTGGTTACATAGAGGTATTTTAACACCTAGTGTTCAGCTAAGGCCTATAATATAGTATATTCACCCCACTAGTATCTCTATAAACTATGCAGTACGTACTTAAAGATTTTGTTATACTGACAAACAGCTAAATAAAAATTATATCGGAATACTTTTGATCAGTGCAAAAACGAATATATATCATGTGAAAGCCAATATCATGTTAAAGTCCTCTTTTTTTAAACAACATCCTCCTTTTCTCTCAAATCAGTCTGCCTACCTCGAATGTAGCTATTGCCATCTGAGAAGAAAAAAGCACTTTGAGGAATCTCCTTGGTTCGGTTCAGTGCTGTCAAGAATAACAAAGGCTTGAA